GTGTGTGTGTGTGTGTGTGTGTGTGTGTGTGTGTGTGTGTGTGTGTGTGTGTGTGTGTGTGTCAGTTCTGGATGTAAACGATGAGACTCCTACCTTCAACCCTCGGCTCTACAACGTTTCTCTGCTGGAGAGCGTCCCCAGGAACTACGTGGTGTCGCTCCTCCTCTGCTCCGACAACGACACCGGCCTCAACGCCGAGCTGAGCTACTTCATCACAGGTCAGAGGTCGACGTGTGCTCAAACGTTCTGTTTCGCTTCTTGCCTGTTCTCCATGTCCTCCATGTTTTCCACTGTCATATTATTGATACAAACGCTGCAGCGCTGACCAGTCAGCTTCCAACTTGTGTCAGGACAAAATAAAAACTGATCAGGTCTTTATCAGGCTCTGAAAGTTTTTAAATTTAACCTGAAGTGAACAAAAACACAACATATTGCAAATCATTCAATAACACACACCTGAGACGGTTTAGTCCAGGGTTCTGCAAAGTTTACAATCCAAAGAGCCACTTCTGCTACTCGACGCACAAATAAAATGTGTCCAGAGCCGCAAAATAAGCTACAACTGTGATTATCAACTGGTGGTCCGCGGGCCTTTTTGAGGCCTTTTCAGAAATCTTTACGGCCAGTGTAGGTGACATTGTAAAACTAAAAAAAATAATACACTGTGAATTTGATTATTATTATTATTTTTACACTTCAGGACAAAAGAAATAAACATTCATGTACAAGAAAATACCGAATTTCATCAAAGCTAGTACAACTGAACTATTCAGACATGTTTCTTTTCTAATTCTTATTATTATTATTATGTAGACTTAAAGGTGTTCAAACATAACCCTGATGGATTTAGGAGAAAGATCATAGAAAGAAGTTGAATTATTTAGGTAAACAACAGGCTAGCATGAGCTAATCAACATGGCTTACTTTTTGGTTTAGTATTGATCACATATTTATATACAATTTATTTCTGTTGTAAGTGTAAAAACAAAACAAAATAAATATTCTGTTATGTTTGGKTATAWTTTCAAAGAGTCACTGAAGATGGACCAAAGAGCCTCATGTGGCCCCAGAGCCGCAGATTGCAGACCCCTGGTTTAGTCGAGGTGTTTCCACTGAACTTCACTTAAGTCTTTATATATTTTGGTTCATAACACTGGAATTAAAAACAGTTTGTTTCTTTTGTCCCTGAGTTTCTAAAAGACAACATGTTGTATCTTTGGTACCCTCCATTCATATATTTATGTGTAAGTTTGAGTTTTTTTTACTTCTTTTTGCAGCTGTTGTGTATTTTTGTTTCGTGTTTTATTGCAAACCTTTGTTTCAGTTTTAAAATCTGTTTCTGTTTTGTTTTCTTAGAAGGGAACCAAGATGGTAAATTTAGCGTGGGCTTCAGAGACGGAGTAGTTCGGACCGTGGTGGGCCTGGACAGAGAGACCCAGGCTGCGTATACTCTGGTTGTTGAAGCTATAGGTGCGTCTGAAACTGAAATCTCTTTTTATAGAAATAAACTTTGTTTTAGACACTTTTTAATGTGATCCATGATTAGTTGTAACACTAGACTTTATTTAATAAACATATATTTTAACTGTAAAATAAAGACTGTAAAAATACTGTTTTTTATCATTTTTAAACTAAAAGTTTAAAAGTATATTTTAACACGGACGGGGCCATTTTATTTGCACACAAAGCATTCTGGGTAAAT